CCGGCCACCCAACTTGGACATGGCGTTTGACCAACGATAGAACAGAGTCTCTGTCAGTATGTCTGTACATGTGACTGGGGAACCATTAAAATGCTGGACCAGGTTTACGAGCTCTTGTGGGATAAATTCTTTCGATGTTGTCTCTAGTAAGGGAGGCCGGCTAAGAACATCAGCGGTGGTATCCTGTTTGCCTGGAACGTACTGAATTTCGTATGTATACGCAGAAAGAATAAGCGACCAACGTACCATTCTAGGTGAAGCCATTTGTTGAATACCTTTCTCGTGGCCGAGGAGGAAAACAAGAGGTTTATGATCCGCATGGATCACAAAAGGTCGCCCGAGTAAATATTGGTGAAATCGAGTGGTGCTGAAGCTGACAGCGGCTGCCTCTCGATCAAGTTGAAAGTAGTTCCGTTCTGCTGGTGTCAGGGTTCTTGAAGCATAAGCAATGGGACGTTGAGAGCCATTCGGTAATTTGTGCATTAAAACAGATCCGAGACCGTAAGGTGAGGCGTCACAAGAAAGAACAACAGGCTTCTGCGGATCATAATGCACAAGAACATCTGTAGATGTTAAGAGCTTCTTGACCGCTTTGAATGCATTCTCAAAAGTATTGTTCCAATTCCAGCTTTGGTTTTTACGTAGCAGTTGGTGAAGCGGATGCAGATGAGTTGCTGCCGATGGTATAAACCTGGAAAACTGAGTGACAACACCGAGGAACGAACGCAATCCCTGAACATTTTTGGGTGCTGGTGCCTCAAGTAGCGCCTTTGTCTTTTCTTCCAGTGGGCACAATCCTTCACGTGACAACCGATAGCCAAGATACTGTACACTCGGAACAAGGAACTCACACTTTTCTCTTTTTAGAACCAAACCGGCATCCGATAATCGCTTCAGGACGACGTCCACTGTATGTAAGTGCTCGGCGGTAGTTCGTCCAGTAATTAAAATGTCATCTAAGTACGCACATGTGTTTGGTATATCTTTCATGAGTGAGTCAATAATACGTTGAAAAATAGATGGAGTAGAGCTTATTGCAAAAGGCATGCGTATATAGCGGAATAATCCGAGATGAGTACTAATGGTGGTGTACGTGCGTGATTCCTCATCGAGTTCAATTTGTTGGTAGGCATGATTCAGATCTAGTTTTGTAAATAGATCACCACAGGAAAGGGAAGCGTAAATGTCTTCAATCTTTGGTAGCGGATATCGGTGTAATTCTAACGCTTGGTTTATTGTAACCTTGTAATCCCCGCAGATTCTTATCGTACCATCGCTCTTCAACACTGGCACAATGGGGGCTGCCCAGTCTGAATACTGGACGGGTTCAACGGTACCTTCCAATTGGAGTCTGCGCAGTTCACTCTCGACCTTATCATGGATGCCATAGGGAACAGTGCGAGCTGTCCAGAACCGCGGTTTTGTCTGTGGTTTCAATACCAGATGTGCACTGTAATTCCTTAAAACTCCTGATCTCGACTGATCAAATAAGACTGCATGTTTCTGCAAAATCTCGGATAACTGCGGATTGTCTTTCACCAGGTTGACGTTCGACATTATGCCAAAAAGGCGCGGCCCAGGATGTTCAGACCCGGTCCTCCAGAAACGTACACACACATATGACTTGTTGAATTACGGTGAGAAATGCGTGCATTGAAGGTACCAAGCACATTCACCATCTGTCCCGTGTAAGATCGCAACTGTATGTTCGGTGGACACAGCTTTGGAAGTTGGGATAAGGCGTCTGGTCGGATCAAAGTGACTGCGGAACCGGTATCAATTTCAAACTCTACCGGTTGTTCGTTTACTTGGACGGATACGACAAACGGTATTTCTGCTGTAATGGTGCGATTAAAAACGGTTGTGGTGTTAATCCAATCCTGGTGCAATTCATCGGTAATGCAGTTTGTAGTCTTAGATTGTTTCTGGACGAGTGATTTCCGCTTGGAGGGACACATTTTCTGGATATGACCCATTTTTCCACAAAATCTGCATAATGAACGAATGTGCGGACAGTCAGTCGGGGACAAGTGATTCTCCCCGCAACGGTTACAACAGAATTCCTTGCGCTGTACGGGGAGAGGTAAGGCATGTCCACGGTTAGTCTGGTTGACCTTGTTTACGTCATGTGAGATTGATTGATTTGAAGAGGGAAATGTGGCTAGTTCCTGGACGAGGTTGGCACGCTGTCGGACATGCTTTCTCCCACGTCAGTAACGTTTCCTCTTCGGAGAGCAGACGTTCTCGTGCCTTCTCATCGAAAACACCCACGATTAATGCCTGTAACAGCATCGCTTCTTCGAACTGGGCTGGAAGGATCTGATCATAGGCGCAGTCAGGGAGAGCAGTAAGGAGACGAGAGATAAACTCATTTACAGTCTCATTTGGTTGTTGTCGCATGGTGCTGAATTTATACCGAGCAGTAAACACATGGGGTTTTTCCCCATATTCGGTCCAGGGAATAGAACACAGTTTTTAGGTCACGCTTCGTATGTAACTGTAAACTGTTGAAATGTCGCTGGCCCTCGATGCCGAGATGGTGGCGTAGTAATTTAATTTTCGCTGCATCATCAATCGTGCAATTTCCGCTAAGGAGCAAAAGCAAATCAACGTAGTTAGTAAATGTAGTTTCCCACTGCAACCATTGCTGCGCAGTAGGCCTTTCAGTAGAAGAATTCCAAAATGGTTGGGGTGCCGTTATTGAATTTGCCATGAGCAAGCAGAATAACCTCCGTCGCCAAATTGTTACACTCAACCGAAATCAGAACAACAGTGTTGCAAATTTAGTAGAAGCAATGGCAATAGTACATCAGCCGTCCACACTGGGTACAGAGCAACTGTTTAGTTTTAAGCAAGTCACATGTCTTAGCTAAGCACTCGCTTTTGAACCAATCAATAAGCATCGCTCGTTAGTCGGGAGATGGACACTCACGCACTAGCGCGCACAATGCAGCTCCACAGGCGAGGTAGCGTAGCATGACCTTGACGCGCTCAACGTCCGTATCAGTTCGCTATCCTTCTGGTCAAACGTAATAAACTCATGGAGCAAACATAATCAAAATGCCGTATATTACCGAATATAAGCCGATGAATTTAGTCAATCTCTTGTTGCGGTAGTGGGAGGCGGCTTATACCAAGGTCATTTGCGATTTGAAAAAAAGCCACATGCAAAATCCACCAAGTAATTAACCGCATATTTCTGCTCTTATCTCCCATTAACACCACCCGCTAGTGATGGACAGTATAATACGTTCGACCCTACTGTACGGTTGCGAAATCTGGCCCTTAAGATTAGCAGACATGAAGAGGCTAGTTAAGTTCGACCATCGGTGCCTTCGTATTTTGGCTCACATCTGGTGGGAACACCGCGTGAGTAACGAGCGTGTTCGACGCCTTGTTTACGGCACAGAAAAAGGATCTGAACCGCTCAGCACCGTCATCTCACGCACCAGGCTTCGATGGCTGGGCCACGTGTTGCGCATGCCAGCCCACCGACTCCCGCGACGTGCGTTGTTTGCTCACCGGGGATGTGGATGGAAGAAGAGGAGGGGCGACCAAGCGATGACTTGGTCCAGAGGAATGAAGGCCCTTATTGATTGGAAATAAATGAGAATATGCGTAGCTCGGGGTGTGGATGCGGATTTTGAGGGGTTCTCCGAGCTGAGTGGTTATTGTGCAGACGTTTCGTTGCCTGACTAGGCAACATCATCAGTGCGGTTTCAGGAGCCTGGTTCGCAGTGCCTCGTAAGCGACTTCAATATCCAAGTGCACTTGGACACTGAAGTCGCTTACGAGGCACTGCGAACCAGGCTCCTGAAACCGCACTGATGATGTTGCCTAGTCAGGCAACGAAACGTCTGCACAATAATCACTCAGCTCGGAGAACCGCTCAAAATCCGCATGAAGGCCCTTACTTCGGAGCTGGCCTCGGTTGGAGCGTCACGGCTCTCTGGTTGGGGTCCAAAAGACGGTGAACACGTTTGGTTGGATGTACTTGCTGACATGGCAAGGAGCCGACCTCAGTGGCGTTCCTGCTGTGAGTTTCTTTGTCCCTCCCCATCCCTTTTAGCCTCCCCCTTCACCTACGATCTCATTTCATAGTGTAAAACATAATAATTTTTCTTTTTGCCTAGTAGCCGGCTGGTAGCTTACCGGAACGATGCCTATCCGTTGCTGGTAGCTCAGCTGGCATGTAACTGTTGTATTTATTTTCCTTTTCCTTTATGTATTGCGGCACAGTAGCTGAGGTGTTTCCCACCTCTAGCTGACGTGTATAATGATAATGATGATGAACAGTATTCCACACAGGTAGTTTAAGTACCTATAACTGGAGACGTTACTATTGCGTCAGGAATCCTCGGTATCTTGGACATCTGACGTTCGCAACGGATGGCAATAGTGCATCCAAAGCTCCTGAAGATTATGTTACGCCAGGCGATTCGATGCCTTAAAATACAACGTCGTACCACACCCCTGACCGTGAACTATGCTTTCGCCCACTGCTCTACTGTGGTTCAAATGCGCATGAGGCTCCCGACTATTCGAGGCGGCCTGTCTGATACCCTCTCACCTTATCATATATTGCCGGCTGTGTTGCTTGCTTCAAGTGACTAGTCAAGTGTCTGGTTAATACACTAGCAGGTTCGGGGAAAGTGTGCTAACGACCCCATGCCCATTGACTGCGATGATAACATTACGGTCACCATAGCTGACCAAGAATAGAGAAGGTTTTACTTGAACTCACGCAAATGAGAGCAAGTTGTGATGACATCGAAATCGTGAAGAAACAATTCCGTTTCTCTTTTGTTGGTTTTTTAGGGACTTCCGACATTGGACCCATTTGATGTTGCAGTCATACTGTCGGCTTATCTATGGACGGGCTTATATTCGGCAAAATACAGTAGTTTTTAATTACAAACAACATTTGATTCATATAGTATACATGCTGTGAGTTATCGGAAGAAAGTACAGACTGATGGTGCACTCAATGTAGAACTCACTCAAGTGGACGGCTTCTACGTGTGCCCGAAGACGACACCTTAGGGGAAACGATTTTCCACAGTTTTCACATGTGTGATCGCGTTGCTCTGAGAACGAAAACAGAACGTTTGCAGTCATGTACAACATTGAAGAGTAGACAATTTTCAAGTGAACAGGAAGGATGTAGGTACATATTCTAGGTAATATGGTGACGAACAGTCCAAAAATGCTGGCAAGCTCTATTGCTCAGGATATCATTTAGGGTAAATGACCGATAGAACAATCCTCGCTTTCTCCAGTATGCTGACGCATTAGCAATTCGGCGGATGAAACTCAATTTGTGTAAACAAAATGAGTTTGTGACCACCAAATCAATGAAAGTGGCTCTTTGTTGATTGGATTTGCTGATCTGTTCAACACTGTGTGACAACGAGGGTGAACTCTCAGAACGGCGACCATTGATTGTCTTCCACGTTTATATTACTCGCGAGTAGCCGGAGTTTAGTTGTTACTCTGATAAGGCCTTCACCCCAATGTCTTCCATGTTGTCAAAAAGATCCATCTATAATGCGAAAGTCACCGAAGTGTTGGCTTTATTTCCAGTGCCCACATATTTCGTACGCGTATCATTACTCGCTGACTTACTGGTCCTGGTGAGATCCGAATAAAAGAACGGCAAGCAAGTAGGCCTTCGCGGTGGTTGCGGCTATATTGATCACACAGTTAGTCTTCGTCAAGTATTAGAGTAGAGACACTTACAGGAGACAGAGTTGCTTGGCTTGAAAGCCTTAGACTCTGTTGGTCATGTCAGCTTGTGACATCGCCTGTGAAAGGAGTGTCAGCAATACTCGTTTGTCAGTTAAGGGTCCATGGAAAACTACATCCTGAGTTCCTCACAGCAAGTAAGACTAACCAGGTTTGTCTCCATTCTTTTTCGACTCCGCGATCGAAATGATCGCAAATTACTCAGTTTTCTCAGCCAGAGTGGTAGTTCTTCCAGGAGACCTTCTGGCGGCCAGTGGAAAGGGACAAGGCGCCTGCTTGCAACCCGGATGTCACCGGTTCGAGCCCGCGTAGGGGACCGCGCAGTTCTCGCAGTATTCTTAGCCCGCGTTCGAGGGGTGATGGTTGTACGACAGCGAAGCGTTGGTATGGCGCACTGTTAATCTCTCTTCTAAAGATAAACAAAACACGAAGCTTTGAGCAAACAATCGTTTTCGATTACTTCTTCATCAATTACAATCTACAATTGTTTGCTCAAAGCTTCGTGTTTTGTTTATCTTTCGAAATTTGACGTAACAAATGGGCATTCTATTTGAGTCTCTCTCTTCTCCCTGACGAGTTAGCTATGCATGGGTCGTTTGCAATTATACAAAGACTAGTAAATAGACCGACGCCGTGTCGTACGCGTCCGCATGCGAACTCGAAGTGCAAAGTACTATCGCAGGACAGGACCGATATGTCTATGATTTCAGCTATCGCATCCGCGTAGGGGTGGGCGTCCTCGCGGTATACACAGCCCGCGCGCGACTGGTGGTGGTCGCGCGGCAGCGAAGCGCCGTTACGGCGTATAAGCTGACACATTTTCAGCTATCGCTGAACAGCCACTAGAAGTGGTGAATGGATTCACATACCTTGACAGTTGTGCTACCTTTGATGATCACATTATAAAGAGGAGTATTGCGCATATTAGCAAGACACTCGTGGCTCTCCACAGATTCGAGAATATATGGACACGGCAGGTTAGCAGTCTGTCAATGAAAGGTAAGGCGTATAAAGCTGTGGTAAGGGTGGTGTTACTGTATGAAACCGAACTGGTCACTTCACACTGAACAAATCAGATTAACGACTGTGTTTGATCGCCGGTGTTTACAGAGTATTGCTCACATCTGGAGAGAACACCAGAACAGCAACGAGGAGATATGGCAAGAAACTTTTTGATGCTTTATTTGAGAACTTGTTAAAATCTAACCGTTGCCGTTGGCTAAGCCACGTTCTCAGCAGGTCCAATGATGGCGTTATTCGGTCTGCCATATATTCTGTCACTGCATCAAGCGGGCCGAAATCGCGAGGTGGGCAGTTGATGACGTGGTACAAAAGTGTGTCTCACGTGACCGAAAGTGTTGGTCACGCAGTTGCCGTCTTCGTGGATGGAGTCCTCGAAATGGTTAACATCAGTGGCCGGCCCGCAGCCCAAAAATCACATTGTTGCGTTTTAATCCAAGGGCGTAACTTCGAGCATGCGTAGGGGACCGGGCGTCTTTCGCAGTATGCGTGGCCCGTGCGTGACTATTGGTAGTTTGCTCGGCAGCGAAGCATCGGTACTGCACACCGGCGTAAAATTGATACCATACCGGTGGTTAGAGACCCTAGCAGACAGCACAGTCAGGTAGCAGGCTTGTGGCACCTATCTATTAATATTCCACCCGCATTAGGTCTACTCACTTTTTCTTGGTTTCCTTTCCTGTTATTTTGGTTGCGTTCTACCTCGTTCTCCAGCCTTTGTTAGTTACCGTCAAGCTGGCGACGCCACTTGTGGTTACAGGATCCAAAGCACCACGGTGCTGTTTTATCGATGTCTAACTCCCTCCAAAGACCCTCGGCGAATGAAAACTGCGTCACTCGATGACCCGAAAATTGACTCAAATAATTTCGCTTTGCCCTTAAAACAAGCTAAAATAAGATACTGAGCAAACTCTCCTTCTGCTGCTGTTAGATAGTGGTATTGTTGGTTCCCACAACAAGAGCAAAAAATGGCACGAACAGTCGCACACCCACTTCAGTGGTAGACAGGAACATGTGTTTGCGATTTCATAAAGCCCACGGGCGAGAAACTAAAGGGGACGAACTCGAAGTTACGTGATTCTGATAAGCTTTTCTATGAGGTAGAAGCCATGAAAGGTCATGTAGAGGCCAGCAACAGCTGACAACTAAAAAATGCGACTTCGGTGATCACATAACCGACTGAAGAATGACACGGAAGTTAGATGAATTCGACGTATCTCATTGAATGGCAATGACCAAAAGTAAGATGAGTGATCTGTGATTCACCATGGGGCAAAAAAGTGAACAGTCATCAAGTAAATGGCCCATTCGAAGTAAAACTAGTGAGATGGGTCCCTAAAATCCTGTTTGTCTCTGGCTAAAAATATTTACACTGCGTTTTGCCTATCCGACTGCTGCGATTGACAGAGGATTTCGACGGCAAATACACGATGTGCGCCAGCATGCTCGTATAGCGATTTGAGAATCCGCCAAAGCCCCCTTGCTAAAATTCGACAATAGTCCAGAATGTCCCCTTAGACAGTAAATTCAAGAAGCTACGATATGCCGAAGACACTGGTGTTGCAAGAATTCGCGTTTCGCTATTCAAAAACTCGGATTCACTCCACCAACGTTTTAGCAATGATTACCCATCAGAGTGCTGTACGGGTGAATCATTGAGTGAACAACAATAAAATCCAAAGGTATGAACATAAAAATAAGCCAAAATGCCTGGGTCCCGCGGAAACACACGACATGCGCAGCGACGTTACTAAGGAGTAAGAACAATTGGTCACTAAATTGTATGCGCATTAGCACAAACCCATGCAATGTTCTTTTAGCCATTAATCAGAGGAAGTTTGATGTTTGTGCAGCACGGCTTCTGTTTTGCTACGATAATTGCCACCGATGGTGAAACTTCTACCAAACGGAGCGGTATGAAAAGACCAGGCAGTCAAAAACACTATACGCCAGTACGTTTCCCGGTCTGGCATATTTCGTCAATAAGTGAAAACAATGTCAGCACTCTGTGACCTGATTGACACATGGAAGCAACCTGTCGTACAAACAAGAAACACACATTCCACGTTTATGAGACAATGCGGTCAAGCAGTAATATATTCCAGAGAAAAAAACAGCAAAGCGTACATAACTGTAAAACGTTCAGTCAAACAATCAATCAACAACAGCAGTGCATCAGTCATTTGAACTGATGCTTCGCTGCCATACAACCACGATAACCTAGGGTATAAAAAATAAGAGGGAGAGAAAAGGGACTTACCTGAAAACCTTAATGCCCTAAGCACACATTCAGGATCAAGGCGCCCACACTTTGTGTAGCCAACATACCGTCAAAAACAGCTGGCAATCGTACAAAAGTAAGTCTGCATCAGCGAGACAGCTTCCTTGCGGCATTCACTGCCACGCGTCATAATCAGCCATTACCCCGAAGATAACTCAGCAACAAACAAATCGCAAACAGGCAAAGAGACTAAAAGACGGCAGCAGACACGCCACTGGTGTCGACTGAGAGGCATTCCGGAAATGTCTCGAACCAAGCACAAGGCGAGTCACGTGGAACCCAGCCAGGAAGAGGAGACGGACCAACGGCACCCAGTTTGGTCGTCAGTAAATTCATTTCTCGATGCCAAGTCAACTTCTGTCCACCTCGAGCCTTGCACCACCCTACACCTGGCAGATAAACAACGCCAACCTAGGTAAGCGGTGACCAGGCTTACGGAGCACGTGTCCGAGCCAACGCAACTTATTCGGTGCTATCTATTGTTCTAGGGAGCTAGCATAATTATCACCACCTAGTACTCTCCTACGCACATCATCGTTGCGGACACGCTGGTGTCATACGACACCACCAATGATTCGCAGACAACGATGATCAAAGACTTCAAGGCACCTCAGATGTTCAGACCGAAGGGGCCAAGAATCACTACCATGGAGCAGAGTGGTCCTCACTGTGGCCTTGTATACACAGCCTTTCCGACGGAGGTAAATTCCCTTCTGTCTCCAAGGATGCCGCGGGTTCAAGAAGGCAGTTCTGGCCTCTGCAAAGCGTGAGCTAACGTCTGTTTCTATGTGCGCATCGTTGCTGATACAGCCGCCAAGATAAGTGAATTGATCAGTCACCTCGAGTTTTTCGGTAGCAAGGGTCAAGGAGTCATAAACTGGCTGCTTGTCCTGCAGCAACACTTTGTAGTTGCAAAGTGAATGCCAAATAATGGGACCACTCTAGACAGGCTATTCAGGGTTAATTGTGCTGTCGCAACATTGTCTAAAAGCAAGACGATATCGTCCGCATAGTCTAGGTCAACTAAGCTTTCATCAGGCAGGAGCCCAACGCCTACATCTTGAGATTCCGCAAGGGAACACTCCATGGTAGAATCCACGACGAAATCGAACAAAAATGGGGAAATCGGACAATCCTGACGAACGCCATTTGTGCTCAGAAAGCTATCCAATAGGTCACCGTAGACCTTGACGCGTCCTGTAGTGTTCGTGTGTAGAGCACGCAGGATGTTCACATATTTCGTGGGAACACCTTTCCGAACGGAATCGAACACACTCTTGAAATCGAGGAACACAGCCATTGTCGGTCTGCGGTATGCGTGCCGTTGCCCTCGCACCTGGCGCAAAGTGAATATATGGTCCATACAGAAACGTCCTAGGCAGAAAAATGCCTGCCCTTCCCTAATCCGAGATTCCCGTTCCACAGTGAGGCGACGAACGAGAATCGAGGACAGTCAATTGGCAAAAACCCAGGTGTCTGTCTGTGCAACTGCCCTTCTTGTATATTGCCACTATAGTTGATTCGGTCCAATCAGTCGGGACGCTCTCTTCCTTCCAGATACGTTCGCATAGGGAGGTCAGTGCTTTGCAGTTGCCCTCACATCCATCCCTAATTAGTGCAGGTGGGGGATCCGGGTCAGCGGCACGAAAACGATTGAGGTCTGTGATCACCTTTTGACTTCAGCCTACGACGGAAGCTCTGAACTAACTGTCCATGGCTCGTCCTGCATCATCTGAGTACGAAGTGTTACGGGAGTAGGGGGCCAACTGAACTGAGCTTGAAAGTGTTCGGCCCAACGAGCCATACGGCGCTCCTTATTGTCCACCAGTGCATCCTCGCTGTCTCTGAGTGCCTCACTGACGCCTGGTTTACTAGGACCAGTGTTGCGGATCAGCTGGAAGAGCTTGCGGTAATTGTCTACTGCTTCTGCCTCCTCCATCTCTTGGGCCCAACTGGTCCACCATGCTTCCATAGCAGCACGTAGGCTCCGCTTTATTTCGCGCCTAATAGCCCGTCTGGTCACATTGTGCTCAGAGCCAACCGGAAGTTTCTTCCAGATTGCAACAGGTTCACCGACCACTCGGATAGCCAATGACTGGTGCAGTGACGATTGATAGTGTCACAAACAGATGCTCCTGCGTCATGCACGGCGGCCGACTTCACATTCGGTGACATTAGGATAAGACAGCGAAAGTTCGGTATGCAGTGCGTTTTGATAGGCTTGCATGACTGAGGGCTGAGACCGTTTCTCAGTTGCCAATCGGAGGGGACTGTTGGTGCGCCTCCCGATAAAGTTCATGGAGAAACGACAGCGTACCAAGGCATGATCAGAGTCGACGTAGGTACTCCAGTATGAGCGGCAATCTAGGAGGGAAGCACGACACCTGTTACCTATGGCTATGTGGTCTACTTGGGTCCATCGCTGGCCAGCTACAGTGGGACGTCAAGTGGCACTTTGGCGCCCACTGTGTCTAAACGCAGTGCTTCTAAGAAACAACTGCACACAGATGCAGCAGACGCTTGCCGTTGTCAGTCCGTTCGGAGTTAATCCCGTGATTACCACCCAGCTGAGCTTCTGAAGAGCTCAGATGCCCTACTTACGCGTTCATATCCACTGCAAGTACCATAATAGTTGAACTAGTAACACTGCGTAGTACCGCGTTCAGTTCCTGATAGAATGTGTCCTTGACAGCCTTTAAACTGCAGTCGGTGTGAGCATAAGCGGAAATCACAAACAAACAGCGTTTTGTACTACTTCGTGACTCCACATTGGCTGATGTCGTCAAACGGGCTGCACATAAATGGCTGTTCACCGGAATGCAACCAACCAACAATGGCTCAGCCTTGGAGCTTAGAATGATACCTACACGAGCTTGTCTCGTGTGTGCTGCATCGGCGTCCCCGGTTGTATGCAACCAATAACGAGAGGACAAGCCGGGTGCAGTTAATTCAATAACCCCGTTAGGGTCATTGCTCCTAGTTTCGGACACACAACACACAACAATACCCTGTGTGTTCAAGGTGCGTGCGAGTGCAGCCTGTTGAGCTATTTGTCTTAGAGTGCGAACGTTGAACATCGCCAAGTAAACGGGACAGCGTGGCGTTATAAGGGGCTGTTGGCGACAGGCGACCGATGGGATGTGTGGGAAGGTGGCTGCACATGGTTCTACTCCACTGACACTTCGGTTTCTCCCAACTGCAAGTGAACAGCTAACGTAAACAAAGTAAACCTTTAGAACACATTATGTGCAATAAGTATAGTTATCCAGGCAGTTGGCATGCAGTGAAATAGAGAACGTCAAAGAATTGGATATTTCTATGCCACGGCACAATTAAAATCGAAAAAGAACTACAACAGAGTGGCGAAACCAATTCCGTACTCACTCAAATGAACACTCTTTAGGTGAGCGAGGAGGTCGGTCCTGTCTGAAAATGTTTCTTCACAGTTTTCACAATGGTGAGTTGGTTGTTCTGGAATAAAATAGAGAACGCGGACGGTCGAAAGCAATACGAAAAGGAAATGTAGTACAATGGATGACAGGTTGCAGAAATGGAAACATGTTATGGCAATAATTGGCAACTGTTTTAGAACAGGAGGCCAACGGCCCTGCTGTATATACCATGAACGTGGGACGTTTGTAGTATGGCAATGAAGCCGCAATCAACAAGTGGCGGTTACCGTACGATAAATTAATGCAGGTGCACCACCAGCTCATAAGTAGTGATGATGCACAGTAAATGGTTAAATGTCAAATTACGTATAAATATGTATACATTGTGAATCTATACCTTGTGCGTGGATACCGTGTTCAGAAATATCCGGTACCAGAGGTTCTCCAGTTGCAGGGTTGTTACGACCCTCCAATGAGTCTAGTGTGCCAACTTGTTCAGTCTTGAATGATTGATCGACAGTAGGCAGTGCCTCGAAATCCAGTGGGTCCTTCTTCAGGTGATTCAGGGAGGTAACAATTTCTTTCCCGTTTGAAAACACTATCGGTAAGTGTGATTCTGTAGGATCCGGCTTCGGCCTCAGAATGCAGAGACCCAAAGGCTGCATCCTCTGTGAACTAACCCGAGTGTTGCACTGATAAAAAACCTGATCAGATGAGTACCGCGAGTATACAGAAGTGGTTCCAAACCTGCTGTGATGGACGAAAAAACACGAATGCAAGTTTTTTTTTAAAATATATACATTATTAAAATAAATTTAATGGTGTAAATCATATTAAAGCCAGGAAAAGACACCTTGTGCAATCAAAATAGGCGACAGACAGTGTAACAAGGTTTATCAAAGTCCCCCAATGTCGGGTTACTAATACCGATGTCGAAGAGCTGTTGATTTGATAGAAGTGAGGCAAACTACGCCGCGCTTAGATGCCAGAAAATAAGGGATGCGAAATGCTGCAGTACATCGCACATCGATTTCTTCCGAAGAACCGTAAACGAGGGAAAGATGCAGTAGCAGTACGCCATTACGCAGTACCGACGCTTCACAGCCATTCAACCATTACCAGACGTGCGTGAACTGAGGATATTACGAGAGTCGCCCGATTCCCTCTGCAGGCCCGAACAGGTGGCCTACGGGTTGCAAGGCAGACGGCTTGTCTTCTCGGCCACCGGCCGAATCACCGTAGCTTACAGGCTACAAATAATCTAGCAGGATGAATTCATGATCAACAAACACAGCACGTCGCTCCGGAGTATTGCAACAATACCTTAATGAATTAACAGAGGCGTCATGCTAATGAGGATATAGGGTAAAACGTGGAGAAGGACCCAGATGCAACGTGCAAACATACGTGATCAAGACGTGAACACTTTGTCAACACCGATGACCATCCCATAAAGATAAGCTTGGGCCAACGAGACGGCTTGCATGCTCAATGTCATGGGCAAAAAGAAAGGCATCAGAATAGGCCAGTATGCAGTAATGACGCTTCGCTTCTGCGCAACTATCACCAGTCGCGCGTGGACTATGGATACTGTGTGGGTCGTTCGGTACCCTACGCTGGTTTGAACCCCCGACTTCAGAATTACAAGGCAGACCTGTGATCTTTAAGGCCACGGGTCGGCCATGAGCGAACTAACTCCACACTGGCATATTCATCCGTAAGCTGAAGCGGCAGGTACATTCGTGAGGCCAAAGAATAGTACTATAGAGAAAGGGTGACAATCACCCACTGAAGAGAAGCACGTGTTAATACTTCATGACATCAGCTGCGTGTTGATACTTCGTATCATTAAAGCTTTACTTCGGAGTGAATACCACATGTTGCGTGCGAGCAACGAAAACGGCGAAGTTGTCCCCAAGTACATAAGTTCGAGCTACCGATTTGCGGATGGAAAATCAGAAGAATTAGTTATATGGTCAAAGTCCGAGGCATGCTCTTTTCACTCAAGAGTGTGCCATTAGAACCAACAGAAAACATTCAGCAAACAGGAATGTGATTCATTTTCCATGTTTCATGTATAACGTTTTGAGATTTTTTAGTATTATGTACAAAAGTATTGGATACAAAAGAAAGGACAGAATTAGTTTCAAGGGTTTGTATCACGAGCCATAAAATCAGAAACTCCTGAAAACCGAGAGTCCGCGCTAAGTAGCTCCCAACCTGGGGGACGGACACATTCATTTGATGCTGAACCTGAAGCAAACATTCCTCAGGTTACTTTCCACGTCATCCGTTGTCTGCCACGATGCGTTTTCAATCGCGCAAATATGTGCGACGATGAAAAATACGGATTGGCATACGTGGTAAGTAGCCGAGACAAAACAAGTACTGTTGCAGAATAATGCTGCTAATCCAGCAGTGCTTACATTGCGCTGCTGCCATACATGAACAGCTGTTCGCAATCAGCGGTTCCTGAAAGCGCGCGGTCATTACAAATCATCCCATCGAACAGTCCGAGCATAGCAGCCGTACAAGAATACCACAACCACAAGGGTATAGTACAATCCATCCTTTAAAATAACATCATGATGACGCCATAAATGAATACGAGACGAGCAAGTTCACATTCAAAGGCCATCACCGAGATAAGTAAAGCTATCAACACTTCAAACTGCCAAAATGCTGACCGTAGGCGAAAACCCTTATCAATCTAGAAGCAACGCTTTACACTAGGACAAGACAAAAATTGTTCAGAGAGTTTTTGACGACCCGTGTGTCATCCCAAACGATTCCATAAGCAAAATATAATTTCTTAACGGCCCCTTAAAATAAGCTAAACGCTGCAGATCTAGGATTTCCCAGTGTTCTGTGGAAAAGTCGAACAAGGATGGTGAGATAAGATGACGGTGGTGCATGTTGCTGGTAACAGAAAAAGAGAAAGCATAAGATGCTGTAAATTTACGCACTGATGCGCACTTCTTAAGGAATACAATAAACATATTGAGCACACTGTTCCTTAATAGTTGGTTCCATGAATCGCGGGTATTTAGCGAAATGAAAGCGGCTCGGATACACAACATCTCGGTAGATGACCGTCGGTAGACATAGCGGTGCACGATAATTTGATCAGCGTAAAGATCCAGTAGGTGCAACCTCGGATAGAACAAAAACCAGACTATTTGTCTCAAGACATAAGCCCAATTAGCTAATACCCTACGAAGTGGCTCCAGTCCAAGGTCAAGTTCAGTTGGAACCAGGAAGATGGGATAACCCCGTGAATGTTCTTTTTTGCGTATCGTTGAACCGGGAATTGATAGGTCCGCTTGTGATGTTGAAAAGCCTAAAAGAAAGAACACAGCACACCCTGCCCCACACTTCGAGCCCAACAGTCCTGCTAGGCCAGTTTGTGTGAGGAAAGAAGGGTAAGCTAATAAAACAAGAGGAGGAATGTCAGCTAAATAATGATAATACCAAGGTACGCCAAGAAGAAAACGAACAGAAAGCCGAAGATACAAGTCGGTTAGGAGAAGGGGAAGGCTAGCTACTGCCACCCAAGAGCATTTCACTGACGCTGGAAAGCTTCAACCGCAGGTTCCCTAAAGACATGTTCCGAAAGCGAGTTCTAACGTCCAATAACCCGGCGCGACAAGCAAGTTTCCGTCCGCACTCGGTCAGAACGCGATTTGTGCAGCTTCAACGGGTGACCTCGGAGACTAGGCAGCTTGGCAGGGATGAATAGCCAGGACAAAACTGGACAGACCTTAACCGTTAGGATACGATAAGTGAGGATTAAGTCTTCTCTAATTCTCCGGTAGTGCATTGAGGACATACCCAATGTAAGCAAACGTTCGGAATACGTTAGTCCTCGTAAACCCTGCACTAACCCTGTACCCACTCACAAAACCCTCTCCAGTTCCACTTTGTCCCTTACAAAATATGGTGGACAAGCCTGGATACAGTATTCTAAGTAGGGTTTCACAAAAGCTGATAACAGCTTCACGAAAATATTGGCTGTTGGGATACCAAAGGAGCGGCGAATAAAGCACATCATACAGAACCCTCTACAAGCAGCGTTTCTCCAATTGTCCTGCTGAGTGACAAGAGGGATTTCACTTCCACCAACAACAGCGCGTGAGGGGGACTAGCAGATCCAATGAGTAGAGCAGAAAACCTCGCCTGGTTTATAGGCATCAACCATAAGGTGGACGAATCACAGAGCCTACCCAAAGCACTCTGAATTACCTCAGAGCCCTCAGAAATATCCACAAGATCCTAGAAGTTGAGGTCATCAGCAAACAACGACGGTACTACAAGCTCCTGGGGTAAGTCATAGACATAGGTTGCGAAAAGCAATGGCCCTAAAGCCGAGCCCTGTGGAACAGCTTGCCTACGCGAAAGGCAACGCCACACGCATACACACTGTTCTTTCCCCCCCCCCTAGAAAAGTAGACACCTATTTAAGGACGCCACCAGACATCTCATACGACCTCAATCTTAGTGTGAGTCGTACAGGGGGTTTTATTAATTGCGTCCGAAACGAAGAGCGGCTGCGCTTACGTGTTCACGTACCCCAGCACACTGAATCGCCGAACAAGTCGGAAGGGGTGAGAAAGGGACACAGACGGGACCTGTGTGCCCGCGCACACCTAGGAACTGCAGCTGAAGAAGTGTTAGCTAAACACCAAAGAGGCAATGGGTGTTATGCTTCGATCGTAGGGCACACCGACGGAACCGAGCCGCTCGACTAGATTTGCCGTCTGCATGGCGAAGATACGCAACAGATTTGGGCAACAACTAGCCCACAGCAATGTAGCACTTCACGTGTGCAACATAAGGCGAAGCTCATGGCCTGGGCTGGGTTGACTAGTCGAAAAACCAGTGAGCCCTTTTTTATTTCCCAGGAGTGTGTAAGGTAGGTTATCGTTTAACCATACTAATGTCTGACATTTCATAGCAACCTCGTACATGGACATGTTGTAGACCAGTGTCATTCCACGGCTACAGTCGGAAGGGTTCCTGTATAATGTTTGGTGGCAGCAGGATGGCGAATCTGCACACCTATTATTCCGTCTGATACGGGAAACTGGCAGCAGGAGACCTGGTGTTAGTGATATCATACGTGACGAGAGTGGACAGCCTATCCACAACTTGTCGAAACGCTTGGAGCGTTGGGCTGAACACTGTGAAAGGCAATCCAATCGGCCGGAAGTGTTAGATTTCTCGCCGGCCACTGATCACCCTGCTTCCTGGGATGTCCGTTTGGACCCACCCTCTCGCTCAGGAGTTGAACGTCAGATCAGACTAAAAGTTAAATAAAGCCGCGGGACCAGATGATCTTCCGCTAGCCCTCTTCAAATTCGCCGGACCTACTCTTGTGTATGATTTACACGAATTACTAGTGAAACTGTGGGAGCAGGAAACTGTCCCAACCGACTGGAGCCGCTCCGTCATAGTCCCAATTTTCAAGGCTCACGATCGGAATGCAGCAACCATGGAGGAATCAATCTGACCTCCACCGCCACAAAATTGTTTGTATCTGTCATCCTTCACAGACTGACTGACGCTTGTGAAAGCCAGATTCGTGAAGTGCAAGCCGGGATCCATCGAGGTCGTGGCTGCATTGACCACATCTTTACTTTGCGTCAGTTGTTGGAGCGCCGTCACATTTGTTGGTGGCTCACCGTTGTCGTGTTCCACGATATCCAAGGCGCATTCGATTCGGTGGATAATTGTGACCTTTGGGGCTGTCT